CTCCTCGACCTCCATCTTGGCGATGTGCTCCCCGGGTACGACGATCAGGCCCAGGTACCGCGATGTCATGTCCGCCGCCACCGTGCCCTTCTCCGACCCGGCCGCGGCCGCCGCGGCTTCGATGAGTTTCTGCTGCGAGGGTTGGCGGTACTCGTAGGTTAGGGAGAGGACGACGTTGCTGTGCTGTGGACACACGTGCTTGTGTTAGTATTTGCGATATGGTATGTAAGATATTGTAGTTGGATGTAGGGTTGGACTCACGGTGTCGGTGCACCTGAATTGGCCTATGAAGAGACGCCCGTCTGTGGTGTAGATGCGTAGGTGCCTGTTGAGGAGCGACTTGAGGAAGGCCGCGCCCTCTTCCTTCTCGACGTTGTTCTCCATTGTGATCGCTCGAAGTACCTAGACGGGAAGTCCTCTCAGATTTTTAAGAATTGAATTAGAGGGGCAAACGTTTTCGTCATTCCATGTTCTCGTTGTGCATTCCTAGAGAAGGTTATGTAGATGGAATGCGATACTTCCCAAGGTGAGCTCCGGAAATACCTATTAAGTGCAGGGAGGGGCTCGTAGGGCTTATCGATAAGACGCACTTTAAAGATGCCAAGACCGATCCTTCCAGTTCGAGACCAGACGCGGTTACCTTGTCGCGGTGCGGCGTCGAGTCATCGTCATCGGCATTGTCCATAGCTCTTTCTCCAGGCAACAACTTCTTCTAGAGTACTTCTTTCCAACTCAATCTTAACCCCCGAGCCTTCGGATTGAACACCGCACATCATGCGACCATACATGAGCGCTCCTTTCCCTCCCATATCTGACAATTAGCAAAGAGCCCACTCCATTCGTAAGCCTCCGAGTCCGACGGCATCATGGGTGTGAACGGCCTCTGGACCGTAGTCCAGCCCTGCGCGCGGCCGACGAACCTCGCGACGCTGAACCGCAAGCGGCTGGCCGTCGACGCCTCCATCTGGATCTACCAGTTCCTGAAAGCCGTGCGCGACAAGGAGGGCAACGCCCTGCGCAACAGCCACGTCGTCGGCTTCTTCCGCCGCATATGCAAGCTGCTGTGGTTCGGCATCCGCCCCGTCTTCGTTTTCGACGGTGGTGCGCCGGCTCTGAAGCGCCAGACCATCCTGGGCCGCAAACAGAGGCGCGAGGGCAGGAGGGACGACGCCGTCCGCACGGCTGGGAAGCTGCTGGCGGTGCAGATGCAGCGCAAGGCCGAGGAGGAGGATAAGAGGCGGAAGAAGAGGGTAGAGCGCGAGGCGCAAGGACGCTTGGAGAGGGAGGATCCTGCGGAGGAGATTCCCGACGCGGATCAACTGGTCTATGTGGACGAGCTCGGGATGAACCAGACCGAGCGCCAGAGGAGCAGGAAGTTCTACAAGCAGGACGCATACCACCTGCCGGAGCTGGACGGCGGCATCCAGGGCATGGGCCAGCCGGAAGACCCGCGCATCATGAGCATCGAGGAACTGGAGGACTACGCGAGACAGTTCAACAGCGGCGAGGATATCAATGTCTACGATTTCAGCAATATTGATTTCGAGGGCGAGTTCTTCAAGAGCTTGCCGCCTGTCGATAGGTACAATATTCTTAATGCGGCGAGATTACGAAGCAGGCTGAGAATGGGCTTGAGCAAAGAGCAATTGGATAGCATGTTTCCCGACAGGATGGCCTTCTCCCGGTTCCAGATCGAGAGGGTACGGGAACGGAATCATCTGACGCAGAGGCTTATGCAGGAAGCCGGCATGACTGGGACTGATCTCACGCTGGCGAGGAACGCGCGTATAGCTGGCGAGAAGGACCGCGAGTACATCCTGGTCAAGAACGAAGGGGCTGAAGGTGGTTGGGCTCTTGGTGTTGTTAGTAAAGAGAAGGATCGCGGCGAGATGCACAAGCCTATCGATGTCGATGCTCTGGAATTTCAGTACCAGACTAAGGAAGAGGACGAGGAGGACGATGAAGATGAATTCGAGGATGTCCCTATCGAAGGTTTGAATCGACTACCCAAGGTCCAGGCAGCGTCTCAAGCTTTCGTTGATGAGGAAGAGGACTCGCTGTTTGTTGGAGGAAATACCACAAATGGTGTCGATGATCTCTTCGAGTCTCGAAATGGAGAGGAACCCTTTGTTGTTGATGATGAAGAAGAAGATCTTAACAGAGCTATTGCATTATCCCTCAAGAGTCAACATGGAGTCGATCCAGAGGGCCATAGGCAAGAGGAAGAAGAGGAAGAGGTGTTCGAAGATGTTCCTGCCCCTAAGTGGACGCAAAGGGCCGTTGTTGAGAAGCCGAAACCAATCATTTCTACAAGTGGCAATATGATTGCGCATATTGTGAACAATAGAGCCAACACGGCCATATCAAAACCTACGCCTAAGCCTGCACCAGAACGTCGAAATAGTACTGACAGCAGCGATAGCGATGTTGACCTACGAGCCGCGCTAGCTAAATCGAGAAAAAATAAAAAGGCGCCAGTTTTCAAACAACCAGTTGTCCCTGCAGTTCCTAATGTGAAGAATCCATTTGATGGGCCTTTACCCTTTGAAAAATTGGACTTGAAATCTAGTATTTTTGCAAGGAAGGAGAAGCAATTGCCCGCAAAGGCCCCTGAGAAGGAGATCAATATGGAAACGAATTCTGATGACGAGTTCGCTGGCGGGTTTGTACGGGACGAAGACGAAAGCCAAGGACAAGAGGGTATTGCGAAAGGGACCACATCACAAGAAAGCGAAGGACCTCGCCCGTTACCTCCGTGGATGATGGAAGATCAGTCAGACATCCGTGATTCCCTGAAAGCCCAGCGAGTAGTTGAGAATGAGATGAATGAGCAAGATCGAGAAGCTGCACTAGAAGAGGAACGAGAACGGCGCAAAAATGCTATTATTGAAATAGAGTCTTCCGATGATGAAAACGATGTCCAAATTATAGAAGCACCACCACACCGGGAAAACCCTACTCATGCGGAAGAGAATCAAAGTACACCGCGGTTATCTCCCGCGACCTTAGCAAGAGTCAATCCTCCAGTTGCTGATGAAGATCAAATCGACGATACGCGCCACGCCGATATTGTACAAGAGCAGACTACTTCTCAAGTAGAGGCGATGGATGAAACAATGCCTGATGCAAAGTCACCTTCCAAGTCTACTTCGCCAGAACCAGAGTTTGAAGAAGTTGACATTATGCAACCCGCGGATGAGCCTACTAGTAATGTTACCGTTACCCAGGCAGAGTCTCCAGAACCGACATTTGAGGATGTTGCTACATATGCACCAGAAGCTGCCGAGCAGCCTCGTAGTCCAGAAGCTGTGGCCGGAGATATCAATGATGAGATGTTCGGTGATGCTGAGTTCGATGACAACGAATTTAGCGACCCCGAGGAAGAAGAGCTACTAGTTCAAATGGCAGAAGAAGCCGAAGAACACGCACGTTTCGCCAGTCAGCTGAACCACAAGTCCGAACGAGAAAACCAAGAGGCTTATGAACGAGAACTCAAAGCACTACGTTCGCAACAAAAGAAAGACCGGAGAGATGCGGACGAGGTCACCCAAATCATGATCACCGAATGTCAAGCTCTGCTGCGATATTTCGGCATCCCTTACGTAACCGCGCCCATGGAAGCAGAAGCCCAGTGCGCCGAGCTGGTGAAACTCGGTCTGGTCGACGGCATAGTGACAGACGACTCCGACACATTCCTCTTCGGCGGCACGCGGGTGTACAAGAACATGTTCAACAGCAACAAATTCGTCGAGTGCTACCTCGGCACCGACCTCGAAAAGGAGCTCTCGCTCTCGCGCGAGCAGCTCATCGCGCTAGCCCAGCTGCTAGGCTCCGACTACACGGAAGGGCTTCCCGGCGTGGGGCCCGTGACCGCCGTGGAGATCCTGTCCGAGTTCCCCGGCCGGGACGGCCTGGCGCAGTTCCGGGACTGGTGGCAGGACGTGCAGGTCCACGGGCGGCCCAAGGAGGCGGACCAAAGTTCGGCGTTCCGGCGCAAGTTCCGCAAGGCGCAAGGGGCGCGGCTGTTCCTGCCCCCCGCGTTCCCGAGCCCGGCAGTCTTCGACGCGTACCTGCACCCCGAGGTCGACGGCGACGCGGAGCCGTTCCAGTGGGGCGTCCCCGACGTCGCGGGCCTGCGCGGGTTCCTCATGGCCACCATCGGCTGGAGCGAGGACCGCACCGACGAGGTCCTCGTCCCGGTCATCAGGGACATGAACCGCCGCGAGGCGGAAGGCACGCAGAGCAACATCACCCGCTTCTTCGAGGGCGGCGTGGGTGTAGGCGCGAAGGAGGCGTTCGCACCGCGGCAGCGCGTCCAGGGGAGCAAGCGCATGGCCGAGGCGGTTAACAAGCTGCGCGCGAAGGCTGTGGGCGATGGGATTGCTACTACTGCGGGTGCGGAAGAGGGCGAAGGCCATGCGCCGCCGGCTGGACGGCGGAAGAGGAAGGCTAGGGATACGATTACGATTGATGACGATGATGATGGTGACTTTGTAGATGGAGAGGCTAGCGGGAACGGCAAGGGAAAGGAGAAGGAGAACGGCGTTCGGAAGGCTGCTGGTAGGCAAAAGGGTAAAGGCGCGAAAAGGGGGAAGAGGGCTAAGGCTTCGTAGACTACGTATTGTCCTATGCGTTACCAATACAGGCTTGCGCTTTACTAGGCTCGTGCCGAGTAGAGTATCTTGGAGGTTAGAATTACGAAATCTATAGAAATACTAATAAAAACGTAGTACATTCATAAAATACTGTTATATATCATCACGTTGCTGAATATATCGACAGGGCTCCGAGGACAGGTACCTATGGGTTTCAAAAAATAATTTCATCGAACTGTCATAGTCAAGAATATCTAGGTAGGTCTCGATATGGGGTTGTAGGTATTGCCTAATCTCGTTCATAATGTAGGTGCATTTTCACATGCATATGCTGAAATTAAAATAAAATAAAAATGAATCATTCTTGTTGAGTTAACAAGAAGGTGCAACTGACAAAAAGCACGTTGATCGACGCAGGGATCGAACCTGCGACCTTCTGTGTCCTCACAGTACACCGACAAGGCGCAAATGTAAGACAGACGTGATAAACCACTACACCAGTCGACCCGACGAGCGCCCCCTAGTAATGGGGCGCCCTTCCGCCACTGGATGCTAACCAGCCGGAGAAGATGGAAATTTTCGCTGTAGTTAGGGCTTAGATAGTAAGCAATGCGGGGTCTAACTTCACGGTAAGACCGTACCGAATCAAGTCCTGATTGAGCCTGTGCAGGTGGGCACCAGTTTGGAACCTAGCGAAGATACGCTAAGGATTCCTGAATCTACACAAAGACTTACAGTGTGTATCTACCTGGCAGCCTGGACAATGCTTGTTTAATAGTGTTACGTATCTCTATTTCAATGATTCAAGATAGCTAACTCCTAATAACATGGGAACTTATACGTTGCTGAATCTAGAGATACAAGTGAAGAGTAGGGTACCTAGGTACCTGACGGCCCCCATACATTAGGTAATTATCAAGATCATGAGGGGCTACCCAGAAACACCTGGGCAGTTTGCCATTGGTTTTAAATGTAGGATATTACAAAGCCTTACGCGCCGCGCCGTATGCCCCTGAGTAAGCCATCGAGATACTGCCCCTATTATTACAATGACCAACTTGGTTGCTCTTTCTCTCCGTGATGCCACCCGGACTCGGTCGGCGAAGAACCTTGGAAAGTGCAGGTTTTATCGATAAGAGGAAACTGCGAGCTGAGGGGGGAATGACGGGACCTCGGGAGGTTGGAGAATTGAGTCTAACCTAAAGAATTTAGCTCTTGAAATTGTACTTTGCGGCACTGAACCCTTGAATGTAAAAAACAGAAAAAAAAAATCAAAATCATGCGAAATACAGCCGCAAGAGGTATTCTTCGGCAAGGCCTCGCTCGTGCTGAGCTCGGGAGGGTGTGAGTATTTCTAGTCTACCCAATTGGCTCGATTGAAGAGACATCTCTCGCAGGCTTACACGTACAAAAGCAGCCAAGATGGAATCCGCCCGCGCTTCGTAGCGGCCAACCCGCCGAAACAGGCACAAGATGTCCTCCCACCAAGCCCGACCAGCGTGACCCTGCTCCCCCTCAGCTCGCGAGCCTTCCACACCACGCCCGCCGCGCAGAAGGGCGGCAAGACGCGCGAGCGCGACTGGAAGGACATCAAGGGGCGGATGCGGGAGATCCACAAGACGCGGCAGGAGGAGATGAAAGCCTCGTACGCGAAGGAGGAAGGCGGCGAGGAGTCCAAGCACCCGCCCGCGGACCCGGGCCAGCCGCTGGACTTCGGGGACGTGGAGAGCCGGGTGCGGCGGCACGAGGAGCGGTTCCGGGAGCTGCTGAAGACGCTGAAGTCGGGCGGGCGGTTCAACCCGGACGTGGTGGGCGCGCTGCGCGTGCAGCCCGACCGCAAGAGCCTGCGCACCTTCGCGCTGCGCGAGGTGGCGCAGGTCGTCCCCCGCGGCGGCCGCACCATCTCCATCCTGGTGAACGAGGAGGAGTACATCAAGCCCATCATGAGCGCCGTCCAGGCCAGCGAGGACTTCAACCAGCAGCCCCAGCGCGACCCGGACATCGAGCTGGGTCTGATCCTCAAGATCGAGCCCGAGAAGCGCGAGGACCTGCTGAAGAGGGCCAAGGCGCTGTGCACCGACTGGCGCGACAAGGTGAGGAGCGTGAGACAGCGCAGGGACAAGACGCACAGCACGTGGAGGAAGGAAGGCCAGATCGGCCCCGATTTCAAGAGGACCGCGGACAAGGAGCTCGAGAAGATTATCAAGGCGGCGATGGCGGTGGTTGATGCCGCGGAGAAGGAGACGCTCAAGTCTCTGGAGACCAAGTAGAGTTCATTGTAGCTAGGAGCTTAGGGGCCGCGCCCGGTAGCTAGGTACGACATTAAAAAAGGGGTATGGAGATTAAAAAAATAAAATAAAGAGTCGACATAAAATAAAGCATTCAACAGAGATGCTGCGTATCCGTGTATATTATGTATATACACTAGACTAGGTGTTGTTACAAGCAATCCCATCTGGCAATGCTGCCAAAAAGAACAGGAGCTAGAATCTGAACCTCGCCCTCCCAATCTCCATGCGTACCGATTCCAGCGTGCCCTTACTTCAGAGCGAACTTATGCGCCTCAGGCCCCTCATTCGGAAAAGCCGCCGGAGCACTCGTCGGAGCACTCTTCCCTATCATACTGCTAACCTTAGCCTCGATGCTCCTCTCCGCGTGCACATTCCACGTGCCGTCCCTCTTGACGTAGCTGCGCACCGTTCCCAGAGTATCATTCGTGTCGGCGTACTGGGGGCCCTGGTACTGGCCCAGCATCGCGTCGTCGAGGACAGCCGTCTTGACCTCGGCGGGGGCCTGCACGACCCTGTCCCGCATGACCTGGCGCGTCCACATCTGCGCGTCCTCGCCCGTAGGAGTAAAAAGGCCCATGCCGTCGCGCCAGGCCAGGCGCATGGCGAGGGGGTCCTGCAGGTGGGAGCTGTGGAAGGCCTGGCCGCCGCCGAGGATGCGGGCCTGGCGGAGGACGGTCTCGCCCTGGCCGAAGGGCGTCTTGGAGGTGGCCACGGCGGGGCCCCAGCCCGCGAGCTCGGCCAGCGAGAGCGCCGGGTTGAAGGCCGCCGTCTCGCCCTGCTCCTGCGCGTCGAGGTACTCCCGCACGTGCGGCTCCGTGCCCAGCAGCTGTTGCGGCTCGCTTTCCTGCTCCCGGCCGTTCCGCTTCCTGCGCCCGCCCTCGCCGTCCTCGTCGTTGCGGCTGCCGCGGGCGCGCCGCGGCCCTCGAGATCGCCGCGGTCGGTCGTCTCGCCCTCGGAATCCCCCGCCTCCTCGTCCGCGACTGAAAGACCCGTAGCCACCACCACCGTCACTATTGCCGTAGCCACCGCCGTAACCACCGCCACCCCGGCCAAACGAAGAGGCACCACCGCCCCGGCTGAACGAAGAGGCGCCTCCTCCGCGGCCGCGGAACCCTCCTCTGATGATATTCGGGCCTGATGGGCCTCCACTCGATCCTCCCCTCATTCCCCCCCTCATTCCTCCCCTCGGACTGTCCATATACTCCCTATACTCCCTCCTTATGACGAACCTCGGCTTGTCGTCCGACCCAGCGTCTCGCGACGCCTCAATGGGTCGGGGCGGTGCCGCCTCTGCAGGCCTGAAACTACGGTGGGCCTCGGAGGGCGGGTAACTCGTCCTCGGAGTGTCGGCCGGTCCCCCCTCCATGGTGGAGATGATCTCGTCCACGGCGGCGACGGTGCGCTGGCGGCCGCTGGGCCGGGGGCGGCGGTCCTCGTCGTCGTTTCGGTCGGGCGCGCACCGCTGCGCGGAGATGGAGAATTGCCGCAGAGACGCCGCGATGCCGTCTGCGACGCGGCTGAGGTCTGGGCGGGCGCGACCCACGGCCGCCGAGTGTAACGGGTGCCGGATCATTGTTGTTGTTGTGGTGTGTGGTTGTTTTGAAGGTTCATTTGTCAAGTTTCGTTGGAAATTTTCGAGATTTGGATATTATTCTCCGAAGCTTTGGCGGGTTTCGAGTTGTGCGTTTAAGCGGGGGATTATGGTGGTGGGGTGGATATTACTTTATGCGATATAATTATGCAAATTTCACATTTCTCTCTTAACTGTCAGAAGAACTTTATAGGGGTCATTACTCGCCCGGGATTTTGTTCTTCAGATTAATATCATTCATTCAATTTCCTTTTCTATATATTCATTAACGCCGTAATTATACATTACATTGTAGTGATACATCTAACTTTGCAATGGCTTGTTGGACCCTCCCCATGTTATCGTCTTGATGTTCAAATATTCATCAATGCCATATTTAGATCCTTCCCTACCAAATCCAGATTGCTTAACACCACCAAACGGCGAAGCAGTGTCAGATATCAGACCAGTGTTAATACCCACCATTCCTACTTCTAGAGCCTCGGCCACTCTCGTAATTCGCTCCAAGTCCCGAGAGAAGAAATACCCTGCTAGACCAACCTCAGCAGAGTTTGCTAGGTCCACCACTTCTTGTTCCGTGCCGAAGGAGAACAGAGCAGCCACAGGTCCAAAGGTCTCCTCTCCTGCAACAGCCATGTCCTTTGTCATGCCTGTGATGACGGTAGGTTGATGGAAGTTAGAGCCTAGACCTGGTAACTTCTGCCCTCCGATGACGACTTTGGCGCCCTTGTCTTGGGCATCCTTTATGTGGAATTCCACTTTCGAGATGGCTCGTTCGTGGATCAGGGGCCCGTGAGTGATGCCCTCATCAAATCCATTGCCAACCTTGAATGCCTTGACCTTCTCGGCAAGTTTCTTTGCAAACTCATCGTAGACACCCTTTTGAACATATATCCTGTTTGCGCACACGCAGGTCTGTCCGGACGAACGGAATTTTGAGGCAACAGCCCCAGCGACCGCAGCGTCGACATCGGCATCATCGAAGACAATGAATGGCGCATTACCTCCCAATTCCATTGACAGGATCTTCAAAGTCGGTGATGCTTGATTCATTAAGAGCTTGCCCACGCCTGTCGATCCAGTAAACGATATCTTCCTTACGGCGGGGTGAGTCGCCAGCGTCTTTCCGACCTCGGGTGTGTTTTCTAGGGTCGTCACGAAGTTGACAACGCCTTTCGGGATTCCAGCGCGGTGTGCTAACTCAGCTAAAGCGAGAGCCGTGAACGGCGTCTCTCCCGGCGTCTTAACCACAACCGTACAACCAGCTGCTAGGGCAGGGCCAAGCTTCCGCGTCACCATCGCGGCAGGGAAATTCCACGGCGTGATCAAGCCGCAAACACCAACGGGTTGCTTGATAGTTATGACCCTGTTGGCTGGCACCGTAGCTGGTATGGAATCACCATATATCCTCGGCGCCTCCTCGCTGAACCATTCGAAGAAGCTGGCAGCGTAGTTCACCTCACCCTTCGCATCTGCAAGCGGTTTCCCATTCTCCCACGTGATCAGCTTAGCAAGGTCGTCGGCGTTCTCTACCATCAGGTCGTACCACTTGCGAAGCAATTTAGCCTTCTCGCGACCGGTTTTCGTCTTGAAGGTGGGGAACGCTGCGGCGGCTGCGGCGATCG